ATTTGCTCAAAAATGAAATGCTTATATAATGATGAAAATTGATATTCATGTAGAGCCTTTAATGTGGTTGAGTTTGCGAGTGTTATCAGACAAAATTTGAATCAAGACACATGAGATGCTTGAAAAGATGGTCATAAAGTTGGTAAAAGAGATATATCGACAAAAATTTCTGCTGTTTGATGGATTTCCAACATTGAAATCTTGGAAATTTGCCATTTTAAACATATGTTTTAACCTTCAGAGCTAGACCAAGGTCAGGAAGTAACTACAGAGCTGTGATTGGGGGAGCGAGTAACTATTGGACAGACAAAATCTTGAAGACGAAATCCTGATGAAGGGTTTCGGCCTGCAACGTTGACTTACCTGCTCCTCGGATGCTCTCTGACCTGCTGTGCTTTTCCAGCCTCACACCTGTAGACTCTGGCTTCCAGCATCTCTTCCAAGAAAAAAAATCCATTGCTTCCGTTCTGGCTTTTTCAGTTCCTCCAATCATGCTTTTCTGTTTTTCCAAAGGTAGAATCTATAACTGGAGGAGCAGCAAAGGTTGGAGAGAGTGCAAGTTATTCTGGCTGGTGGTGCTGCTGCCACCATGCAGAGGACTTCCAGTTGCATCACTACCAGGGAACTGTTAACTTTCTCTCACTTTGAGGGTTTCCCATGCATAGTCTTTTATGTACTGGACTATGATTGACCAAGTAATTTAAAATTGCGAATGAGGGATAATTTACTCGTCTGAAATATGATTATCCTGATTTCCATGGTATTGCATCAAACTGACATTTGAATGTAATGGTTCTTGACTACAGGATAATTCTGCTGAATCAGTCAAGATCAGGCAGTTCAGCAGAGATAAGCAATTGAATCTGGTAAGTTCCTAACATGTGACGATAGTGGATAGGTTGCTAGGTCTTTAGGATTTCCGCTGCTACCTTTTAAGTAAATAAACCAGTGGTGGTGGTTGTGGAGGCAATGACAAACAAAATAAATGATCAAAACTCAAACATGAAGGCATTTATTTAGTTTGTTGTTAGCTTATGTAGATTCCTTCCTATTTCAGATTTATGTTTCATTCACAAATAATTTTGAGACTTTTGTCTTTGGCCACCTATGGAAGTAAGTTTTGAATAAGTATTTTGAGGGCAGAAGGTCAGAGAGGAAGATGGAGAGCTTTATGAAAATATTCCAAAGTTTTTAGAACTTGGTTCACTGAAGACATGACTGTGAATGATGGGAAAATTAAAATTGGTTAGGCGTTAGTGTGGTTGGTAATCCCCACCTGCTCTGAATTTTCTGACCTGGATTGAGAACAAGTATTAACAAATCTTAAATGTACCCTTAATTCTGTTCCATACCTTTAACACTGATCTAGTAATGTTCTTTTGAAGTGTTTTATTACTCCATTTGGAACTGATCCTTAGCCTGACAAAACTTCATTTGGATCAAATGTGGCAAGACAAAAGTTTTCCAAATTTTGTTTTGAGAAAGTATCTACCTATAATTTGTTGGCATAATGCCTTTATAGAAATGATGCACTTCGAGCATGTAATTCATTTCACAATGTTCATTTTTTATTTATTCTTTTGTGGGATATGGGTGTCACTGGCTAGGTCAGGAGACCATTCTTCCTTAGTTTCTTCATACTTTATCTCAGCATTTGTTAGTCATCTCTATTTGCCTTGCAAAAGGTGGTGATGAGGAGTCTTATTGAACAGCTGCTGTCTATGTGTTGTAGATACATCCAGAGTGTTGCTATGAAGGGTGCTCCAGGGTTTTTAGCCAAAGACAGTGAACATAGAACACAGAACATAGAACATTACAGCGCAGTACAGGCCCTTCGGCCCTCGATGTTGCGCCGACCTGTGAAACCAATCTGAAGCCCATCTAACCTAAACTATTCCATTATCATCCATATGTTTATCCAATGACCATTTAAATGCCCTTAAAGTGGGCGAGTCTACTATTTTTGCAGGCAGGGCATTCCACGCCCTTACTACTCTCTGAGTAAAGAACCTACCTCTGACATCTGTCCTATATCTATCACCCCTCAATTTAAAGCTATGTCCCCTCGTGCTAGCCATCACCATCCGAGGAAAAAGGCTCCCACTGTCCACCCTATCTAATCCTCTGATCATCTTGTATGTCTCTATCAAGTCACCTCTTAACCTTCTTCTCTCTAACGAAAACAGCCTCAAGACCCTCAGCCTTTCCTCATAAGACCTTCCCTCCATACCAGGCAACATCCTGGTAAATCTCCTCTGCACCCTTTCCAATGCTTCCACATCCTTCCTATAATGCGGTGACCAGAACTGTACGCAATACTCCAAGTGCGGCCGCACCAGAGTTTTGTACAGCTGCAACATGACCTCATGGCTCCGAAACTCAATCCCTCTACCAATAAAACCTAACATACTGTACGCCTTCTTAACAACGCTATCAACCTGGGTGGCAACTTTCAGTGATCTATGCACATGGACACCGAGATCTTTCTGCTCATCCACACTACCAAGAATCTTACCATTAGCCCAGTACTCTGTATTCCTGTTACTCCTTCCAAAGTGAATCACCTCACACTTTTCCACATTAAACTCCATTTGCCACCTCTCAGCCCAGCTCTGCAGCTTATCTATGTCCCTCTGTAACCTGAAACATCCTTCCGCACTATCCACAACTCCACCGACTTTGGTGTCATCCGCAAATTTACTAACCCATCCTTCTACGCCCTCATCCAGGTCATTTATAAAAATGACAAACAGCAGTGGCCCCAAAACAGATCCTTGAGGTACACCACTAGTAACTGAACTCCAGGATGAACATTTCCCATCAACCACCACCCTCTGTCTTCTTACAGCTAGCCAATTTCTGATCCAAACCGCTAAATCACCCTCAATCCCATGCCTCCGTATTTTCTGCAATAGCCTACCATGGGGAACCTTATCAAACGCTTTACTGAAATCCAAATACACCACATCAACCGCTTTACCCTCATCCACCTGTTTGGTCACCTTCTCGAAGAACTCAATAAGGTTTGTGAGGCACGACCTACCCTTCACAAAATCGTGTTGACTATCCCTAATCAAATTATTCCTTTCTAGATGATTATAAATCCTATCTCTTATAATCCTTTCCAACACTTTACCCACAACCGAAGTAAGGCTCACTGGTCTATGATTACCAGGGTTGTCTCTACTCCCCTTCTTGAACAAGGGGACAACATTTGCTAGTCTCCAGTCTTCTGGCACTATTCCTGAACACAATGATGACATAAAGATCAAAGCCAAAGGCTCTGCAATCTCCTCTCTAGCTTCCCAGAGAATCCTAGGATAAATCCCATCCGGCCCAGTGGACTTATCTATTTTCACACCTTCCAGAATTGCTGACACCTCCTCCTTATGAACCTCAATCCCGTCTAGTCTAATAGACTGTATCTCAGTATTCTCCTCGACTACATTGTCATTTTCCTGTGTGAAATTGCTATAGTTCCAAGTTAGAATGGTGTGTAGCTTGGAGGGGAACATGCAGGTAGTGGTCTTCCCATGCTTTTGTCTTTTACCTTTCTAGGTAACGGAGGTGGTGGATTCATAAGATACTGCTAAAGGATGCTTGGTGAGTTGCAGCAGCCCAGCTCGTTATGTTATACGCACTGCTGCTATTGTGGATCAGCAATTGAGGAAGGGAATGCTTAAGGTACTAGACAGGGTGCCAATCAGGCAGACTTCCTTGTCATTGATTCTGACAATCTTCTTGAGTGTTGTTGGAGCTGCAGTCATCTGGGCAACTAGAGAGTATTCCATCACAGTCTTGATTTATGTCATGTTGATGGTGGAAACGTTTTTGAGAGTCAGAAGGTGAGTTACTGGTTGCAGAATTCCCAACCTCTTGCATATTCTTGCAGCTAAAGTATGTATATGGCTTGTTCAGTTCAGTTTCTGGCCAGAGGTAACCCGAGAAAATTGATAGTAGAGGACTTAGTGATGGCATTACCATAAACTGTTAAAGATAACTTGTTTGATTCTCTGTTGTTGGACATGGCTATTGCATGGCACGAATTACACAAATGTAGCTTGCCACTCACCAACCCAACTGTTGCCCAGCTTATGTTGTTTATCGATTGGGACTACTTTAAGATCTGAGCAGTCACGAATGGTATACTGAACATTGTGCAGTCAGTTGTGAACATGCCCACCTCTGACCTAATTACTGGGGGAAGGCCATTGATGAAGCAGTTGAAGGTGGTTAGGCTAAGGAACTCCTGCAGCAATGTCTTGGGACTGAGATGTTGAACTCCATCAATCACAACCATCTTCCTTTGTTCTCGGTATGATTCCAACTATTGGAGAATGTTCCTCCTGATTCCCATTGACATCAGTTTTGTTGAGTCTCCTTGATATTACGTTTTGTTAATTGCTACCTTTATGTCATGGACAATCATTCTCACCTCCTCTCAATACAAAGAGTGGTGGGTGTAAGTGTTTGCAAGGGACATTAATCTATCCCAATAAAGAGTGGCAAGGAAGCACCAAAAAGATCAACTTAATATAAGTGTTAGTGAGGTAATAGTAAATTTCTATAATGTTTCCCTTTAAAAGATGTGTCTGTCACAGGATTCTGTGTGTTATGTATATTGGCCAATGTTTCATAAACAAACAAAAGCAGAAATTGCTGGAGAAACTCAGTTGAAGAAACTCCCTGAGGAAGGGTCACTAGCCTCGAAACAGTAACTCTGTTTTCTCTCCTCCTGGTCAGAGTTTCTCCTGCAACTTTTGTTTTAGTTTGTTTCAGATCTCCAAAATCCACAGTTGTTTGCTTTATTTTATGTGAGAAAATTTCATAGTTCATTGAGAAACTGGGAAACTTGGGAATAAAAATAAATAATGTAAATATTAGAAAGGAGTTTGTTCTTCATACTTAACGCCTTGATTTGGTAGTAATTATATCATATAAACCAGAGAAATGCAGATAGCATTCTTCTAATCACTTTATCTCATTCTTCTCATTGTAAGTTAAACCTAAAGATGAGATTGAAGTTTTATCAGAAGAACATCAAATTGAAAAGCCTCAACCCCCACAGGAACAGTCTTCCGACAGGAGTAATCGTAGAAGATTACGTTTACGGCTGAGTGATGTGGAAAAGAATGGCACAATTGATGGTAATGCTGCTCAATCTCTAAGTTTCTTATGTTCTATTTTGTACATATAAATATAAAATGAAATATTCCAGTGCATTTGTACAAATAACATTCATTGATACATATGTTAGACTAAAAATTGGAAGCACAACAAACATTTTGTAGAAAGCTATGCAACGACTACTTTTAAAATTATAAACAATGTTCATGTATTATTGGTGTTCATGTTTTATTTCTGGATGAGGAAAGTTCTGCACCACTTAGTGTATGTATTTCTATATTAATGTTCAGATCGTACACAGGATTTGTTCAAGGTCCATGAAAAATAATGGAAACAATTTCAAATTTAAACTTTTAAGAAATAATAGTTCTTCATTCATTACTCTCCACAAATATTGCTAAAGTAGGCATTTGATCTAAGTAAATGTAAGATGCACTCATCTCTAAAAGTTTTTCTCTTGCATCAGGAGAGAGTATTTCATGGGGTCACAATTCCTGGCAAGTTTTAGCCTATTATGGCATTGATGATATTCAGTGAGAAAGAATTCTGAAACTATTATTAAAGGTCAAATTTAACACTACATTAATAAAAATGCCTGGGCTTGAAATATGTACCAGCAATGAGACAAGGTTGTATGGTTGGTTAACATAGTATCCTTACTTCTGGGCTTGAATATGAATTTGGCACAGTCTGAAAGATGTTTTCTCTCTGTTGGTCTTTAAATGTCCTACATAAACTGTCATTGAGTACTTTAAGTTCAGTTTTAGATTCCTCAAAACAAAACTGTTCTAATTTCAGCAAGGAGCTGGCTCAGAAATAATATGGCACATGGGCACATCTTGTTTTAAAAATCGATAGAATGAAAAATCCAGGTTTGAAACATTGAGCAAATCCTTCCATCAAAGGTTTGATGACATTTTGCAAGTAAACATTTCAATTTGAGGCTGTCCTCAGCAATGATGTTCTTGTCATGAAAAGTAGAAGCATCTTGTCTCAATTGATGGTTGTGGAATGAATTGAGTCTCAACATTCTCTCATATCTTGACAAATTAAATTGTGGGGTTATGATAGGGAAAGGTATGGAAAAGGAGAATATTTTCAATGAACGATGTTTCATGAAACAGAAAACTCTGCCTTGATGTCAAGGGCAGTCACCCTTATTATGTACTCCTTTAAGTCCAGCTATTTTGTCCATTTTTGCAGCAAGGCGTAACAAAGCCAGGAGCAGAGTAAGCCTGATGGAACTCAAATTGAGCATCAGTGAGCAGGTTATTGTTGAGTAGATGTTGCATGAAAGCAGCGTCAACAATACCTTCCATTACTTGTTGATGGTTGTGAGTAGATTTCGGGGGTGGGGGGGAAAGATATTGTGGTGATGTGGTAATGCCCCTACCTCTAGTCCAGGAAGCCTAGGTTCAAGTCCCATCTGCTGTGTGTAATAACATCTCTGAACAGGTTGATTAGAAAATATATTTGGCTTAGGCTGGAAACAATGACAGTGTCTTTTTCATTAACCCAAGTGTTTGAGAGAAAATCATGAATTTGTGTGTGTTGACCTGGTGCAAGATAATTCTCTGTATATTCATTTATCCTTTTCTCCCTGCTTTCTAATACTGTGTCATGCACATGCGGTTAAATAGTATGAATGTGAGATGGAGGAAATGTGTTGAAATGTTGCCAGCCTTAAGCAGGATTTTCGCAAGGCGTCCAGTGAAGAGCAGCTTGATTAAGAACAAGCTGAAAGTGAGCCCTCATTAAGTGAGGCAGATGGGCCTTTTCCTTCAAAAGGGAAATTGGTATGAACAAATGCAGAGCTCCCGAATGACAAAGGAGAAAGAAATTAAGATAAATAAAAACAAGTGCCCTTATGGCAGGTGTCAGGTAGAAAATACAATTGAGGACCAAGATGAATATAAGAAGATTCAGACAGTTTGTGAAAAAGTATATCAGTGAAGCTAAGAGCAATTATTGGAAAAGATGAGCAGCAGACATAAAGGGGAATGCCAAAGTTTTTGGTATGCATATAAATTGTAAGAGAATGGTAAGAGGAGAAGGACTGATTAGATTCTAGAAAGGGGATTTATGCCTGGAGGAAAGGGTATGGTTCAGGTATTAAATTAATACTTTCCATCTGCCTACATTAAGGAAAGAAATGCTGCCCACAGTTTCAAAGAAGGAAACTGCATTTAGAAAGGTTCAAAATTGATAAGGAAGGAGTATTGGTACTTAATGTAAAGAGGGCACTGGGATCAAATGAGCTGCATCCAAGGCGATTGAAGGAAGTTAGAGTGGAAATTACAGGGGCACCAGCCATAATCTATCAGTCTTCCCTAGACTCAGGAGAGATACAAGAAGACTGGCGACTGCAAACATATTCAAAAATGGATCTAAGAATAAGCCCAGAAGATACAAATCAATCAATTTAACTTTAGTGGTGGGAAAGCTTCTACAAACAGTTACTTGGGATAGAATTTGTAATCACATGGGAAATGGTGCATTAATTAGAAAGAGGCAGCATAGATTCCTAAAGGGGAAACCCTATTTAACTAATGAGTCGAGTAAAGGTAACCAGGGAGTTCCCCTGGGAGTCCTCAACATTGACTCCAGATCCCTATAGTCTCATGGCGTTAGGTTGAGCATGGACAAGGAAACCTCCTGATACTCACTATGTACTAACCTCTCTTGGCTGATGATTCAGTACTCCTCCATGTTGAACAACACTTGGAGGAAGCATTGAGGGTGGCAAGGGCACAAAATATAGTCTGCGTGGGGGATTTCAATATGCACCATGAAGAGTGGCTCAGCAGCAGTACGATCGAGCTGGTTGGGTCTGAAAGAACATAGCTGCTAGACTGGATCTGATGAACATGAGAAGGGAACCAACACGAGGGGAAAAACATACTTGCCCTCGTCCTTACCAGTGAGCCAGCTAAAGATGCATCGTTCCATGACAGAATTGGTATTAGTGACCACCGCACAATCATTGTGGAGACAAAGTCTTGCCTTCACATTGACAATATCCTCCATCCAGTTATGTGGCACTATCACCGTGCTAAGCAAAACAGACTTCAAACAGATCTAATAACTCAAGATTGGACATCTGTGAGGCACTGCGAGTCATCAACAGCAACAGAGTTATACTCCAGCACAATCTGTAACCTAATGGCCCACCATTTCTCCCACTCTACCATTATCCATCAAGCCAAGGGATCAACGTTGGCTCAGTAAAGAGTGCAGGGGGGCAATGCCAGGAGCAGCACCAGGCGAACCAAAAATGAGGTGTCAACCTGGTGAATCCAGCAGACAGGACCATTTGCATGCCAAACAGCATAAGCAGCAAGTGATAGCCAGCACTTATCAATCCAACAGATCAGGTCTAGGATCTGCAGTCCTGCCACATCAAGTTGTGAATGGGGGTGAACAATTAAACCACTCACTGGAGAAGGAAGCTCCACAAATATCCCCATCCTCAGTGATGGGAGCCCAGCAGATCAGTGCAAAAGATAAGGCAGTAACCTTCAACTAGGAGTGCTAAGCGGATGTTCTATCTTGGACTCCTCCAGTGGTCCCCAGTATCATAGATGCCAGTCTTTGGTCAATTCAGTTCACTCCACATGATATTAAGAAATGGTTGCAGGCACTTCATACTGCAAAGGTAATGAGCCAGGACAAAATTCAGGCAACAGTGCTGAAGGCTTGTGCTCCAGAACTTGCTGCTGTCCTCGTCAAGCTGTTCCAGTACAGTTCCAACAGTGGTATCTACCCGATAATATGGAAAATTCCCCAGGTATGTCCTGAACATGAAGAGCCAGACAAATGCAATCGAGCTGATTACCACCCCATCTATCTACTCTCATTCATGTAAATGATGGGAAGTGTCATCAACAGTGCTATCAAGCAGCACTTCCTCAACAATACCATGCTCATTTTTCCCAATTTGAGTTCTGCCAGCGCCACTCAACCCCTGATCTCATTACAGTGGACAAGCCCTCCATTGGTTGGAGTCATACTTGACACTTGGAAGATGGTTGTGGTTGTTGGAAGTCACTCATCTCAGCTCCAGGGCACCTCTGCAGGAGTTCCTCTGGGTAGTATCCTAGGCCCAACCATCTTCAACTGCTTCATTAATCACCTTCCCTCCATCATAAGGTCAGAAGTGGGGATGTTCACTAATAATTGCACAATGATCAGTACCATTTGTGACCCCTCAGATATTGAAGAATTCACATTCAAATGCAACAAGATCTGACCAATATCCAGACTTGGCTGACCAATGGCAAGTAAAATTTGAACCACACAAATGCTAGGTGACAATCGTCTCCTGTACGAAACATTCTAACACCACCCCATGACATTTAATAGTGTTACCTTCACTGAATCCCTCACTATCAACTTCCTTGTGGTTACCATTGATGAGAAACTCAACTGGACTCACCATATAAACACTGGCTATAAAAAGCAGGTCAGAGGCTAGGAATACTATGATGAGTAACTCACCTCCTGACTTTGCAAAACCTGTCCACCATCTACAAGGCACAAATTATGAGTGTAATGGAATACTCTCCACTTGCCTGGATGAATGCAGCTCCAATAAAACTTGACACCATTCAGGACAAGGCAGTGGCTTGATTCATAATGCTGATGCTCAGTAGCAGCAATGTGTATTGTCTACACTGCAGAAATTCATCAAGGACCCTTCGACGGCACCTTCCAAACCCTTGACAACTTCCATCTAGAAGCACAAAGGCAGTGGATACATGGAACACCACCATCTCCAAGCCCCTCACCATCCTGATTTGGAAATATATCACCCTTCCTTCACTGTCACTGAGTCCAAATCCTGGAATTCCCTCCGTAAAGGCATTGTGGGTCAAACTACAGCACGCAGACTATAACAGTTCAAGAAGGTAGCTGACCAGCACCTTCTCAACACCAACTAGGATGAGCAATAAATGATGGCCAGCCAGCGACACCCACTTCCCGAGTGAATATAAAAAAAAACACACATTCATAATCTCAC